TGGGCAGAGCGTCAGAGACCGCCTGTGATGACACCTCTTGATTTCAGTTAAGGGTGGGGCGGCAGACCAGTCTGTCCTTCCGTCCATCGCGTTCAGATTAGCCAGGGGTGCTCATTCACACACACCCCTCTTCTGCTCATCAGCTTCCTGGGATCCAGCCCTCCTCCCGCCATCCGCCTCTTTCTTCCTGCTTTTCCTCGGCTCCAGGCCGTTTCTCTGGAGCCGCCCGCTCAGAATCAACCCTGTGCTCCGCCCGCTCCTAAGAGGTAATTCCAAAGAAACCTGGAGCCCTGGTGGCAGTGTGGTTAGGAATTGGCCTGTCAACCTCAAGGTCAGCAGTTCAAAACCACCAGCTTCTCTGAGGGAGAAAGATGAGGCTTTCTTGTTCTTTCTATCGTTGACAGGTTGACATTTCTGTTGAATAAAGGTCGTTATGATTTGTCTCCCCATACGTTTGAAATGAACTTGTCTGTCACTAAAGATTACAAGGCCAGGGCCAGTTTGACTCTCCCTCCTTTTGTTAGCCACTCGGACCAATAATTAGATTGCAAGGGTAAGGAGTCTGGAAGGTTTTATATATATATATATGTGTGTGTGTGTGTTTATGTATGTATGTATGTATATGTATATATGTCTATACATGTTATTGGCATATACTTCACAGGTCATACAATGTAAACATGCAATCATATGAAGAAGCGTGTGTGATCATCACCACAATAACTTCAGAACATTTTCTTCTTGTGCATATATATTTATATATATATATTTCCCCCACTTCATGGAGCCATTTTTATTTAACATATTTCTTTTTCCTTTAAACTCTCCCTTTTTTTTTTGCACACACACCTCCTCCATCCCTCCCCTCTCTGCTCCAGGGAAGACTTACAGTCTTGGAAATCCACAGGGGCAGGTCTACCCTGTCCTGGTGGGTCGCTTCACTGTGAGTCTGCATTGACTCGTTGGTAGTGAGTTTTACAAATCAGGTTCTTGTAAACAGACTCCTGGGTGTGTTTCCTCGATAAGGAGCCCTGGTGGCGCAGCGGGTTAACGTGTTGGGCTGCCGACCACGAGGTCAGCTGTTCAAAGCCACCAGCCCCTCCGAGGCAGAAAGAGGAGGCGTTTGCACCCCTGAAAACTCCCGGGGCCGTCTACCGTGCCGTATAGGGTGGCTGTGAGTTGCATCATCTGGTTGGCGTGGGTTGGTATTCGGGATTGTGCTCGTGTGTGGAAATGATCCCTGGGACTGGAATTGCTGGCTCACAAGCTGCAACTCAGATTCCCCTGACTTCTCATGAGATGAGAGTTGGGACCCATTGTCTGCAGCACCCCCATCAGGGCAGGCACTGCAGCTGTCCCCGTTTTGCAGAGGAGCAAACGGAGGCTCCGAGAGGCTGAGTCATCTGCTCTGGGCCCCACAGCTGCAAAGTAGCAGAGTCCAGACTGGCTCCAGAGCTGCTTGGCCCCACTGACCAGCTTGCTAAGCAGAACCTGCTTGTCTCTCTGGGAATGCAGGCCTGTGATCCTGGACCCGGCGGACCCCACGTGGGACGTGGGGAACGGAACGGCCTGGCGGTGGGAGGTGCTGGCCCAAGAAGCAGGGTCCTGCTACGACCACCCGTGCTTTCTGTCGGCATCTGGGAGCCCTGTGCAGCCCTGGGAGGGGCCGGTGAGTGCGGTTTGGGGTGGGGGTAGGGGGGCGTGGGGAACTCTGGAATCCTGGGATTTACACGTGGTTGAATAGCAAGCACACAGCACATAGCTGAAAGGTGAGGCAGCGCCAGGAGACAATTTCACTGCCAGGCTGGGTGGAAAGGCCTTCGTTCTGCAGTTACTGAAGGAGCAACGGTGGGTCCTGTGTTTGACTGCTAACCGCAAGGCCAGCAGTTCAAAACCACCAGCCGCTCCACGGGAGAGAGGTGAGACTTTCTACTCCCACCAAGAATTATACTGGGGGCAGTTCTACGCTGTCGTATCAGTCGCTATGAGCCCGTATCAACTCGACGTGAACATAATTTGTCTGCTGACTAAGCAGACTAAGTGTCCACGGGCGGGAGGGGGGGAGAGGGGGTGCCTTTTTGTAATTTATTCCTCAAGAAGGCAGCCTTTCTCTATGCCCAAAGGGGCCACAGAGGCAGGCTAGCAGTGCCGGGGGGCCTCAGTCAGTCTGGCTGCACATGGGGCTGGTGAGAGAAGGGATTGATCAGAAGGGATCGATCGGCCCATGGGTAAAGCAGATCTTTCCACTATTTCCAGGGCCTGCCACGTGCTGGGTGCTCTGGTTTGGGGCACCCCATCCAGAGGGACCCTGACCAAAGGATCTCCGCGGACAGCGGGAGCCTCCGTGTTGTGCAACCCAGAGTCGGGAGCAGGCAGCCCTCACACCCAGCATCCAGCCCTTCGGGGATGTCCAGCCCTTCGGGGACGTCCAGCCCCTTGGGGACGTCCAGCCCCTCAGCGACGCCCAGCCCCTTGGGCACACCCAACCCCTTGGGCACACCCAGCCCCTCAAGGACGTCTAGCCCCTCAGGGAGACCCAGCCCCTCGGGCACACCCAGCCCAGCCCCATCTACGCAGGGCTCGGATTTGGCTCTGTCTCAGATCCCCAGCAAGGAGCTGGACCGCTTCATCCAGGACCACCTGAGGCCGAGCCCACAGTTCCAGGAGCAGGTCAGCAGGGCCATTGACGGCATCCTCCGCTGCCTCCGTGAGACGTGTCTCCACAAGGCCTCACGTGTCGGCAAGGTGAATGGGGCGGGTGGGCTGAGCTGGAGAAAAAGGTCTGCTGCTCTTTTGAGAGAACTGTCTGTGTGGTGGCTTACAAGTCGGGCTGCTAACCACCAGGTCAGCAGTTCAAATCCACCAACCGCTCCGTAGGAGAAAGATGAGGCTGCCCACTCCTGGCAAGACCGACAATCTCGGAACCCCCTGGAGCAGTTCTCTCCCGACCCACTAGGTCGCTGAGGGTTGGGATGGACTCAAAACTGCAAATTGTCCACAACAATCAGATCCCTTCCTGCATCGGCTCCGAACCCTCATGGTGTCACCAAGCAGCACAGGGCCTCAGGGTTGGAGGAGCCAGCCTGGCTCAACCTATACGACGCTGGTCCTCCAGCCCTCTGCACGGGCTGCTTTCTCCTTCTGGAATGTTCTTCCCCACCCATTTGGCTCCCCAACACCTCCTACAAGTCTTTGATGCATAGCCGGGTCTGACTACTCACCTTCAAACTGCTGCCTCCTCTCACACCCTGGCCTCCTACTGTCCAGGTCCCGTCCTCACTGGGCACGTTCCCCTGAATCATGGTGGTGGGTGGACCGTCTCCCCCTGCTGGAACTAAGGCTTCCACAAAACCGGCACCCATGCCTGGCCACCAAGCCCATTCCAACTCAGAGTGTCCCTGCCGGACAGAGCAGAACAGACCCAGCTTCCGGGGGCTAGAAAACTTTATGGAAGTGGGCGGCCGCCTCTTTCTCCCATGGGGCAGCTGGTGGACACAAACCACTCGCTTTAAGGTAGCAGCCCTCGAGCGCTTAGCTGCGCTGCCACCCACTCCTATCCTGTTCCGTGCATGTGCCCATTGAACATTTGTTGAGTGAATTGATCAGAAAGGCCAACAGAACTGTCATCAGGGCTTTATTTGGCCCTCGGACCTCCATGGGCCACCTCACCCTATAGATGTTGGGCTAAGATGCTCGGTCACCATCCCCTCTCCGACTGATGTTGCTCTGGCTACGTGGGTAGACAGACATCATTTGGTTCTCTGCCAGGCTTTGAAGGGTCAGAGGTCAGAGGGTACCCCCAGACTTGGAAGCAGTTAATGAGCAGTTTCAGGGGTACAGGTGAGGTGCACCTCGGTGGAGTCGCCGTCCAACTCCAGCTCAAAGGGGTCACCAGTCTGCGCTGTGTCTCCCTCTGCAGGGGGGTTCTTTCGGCCGGGGCACAGCCCTAAAAGGTGGCTGTGATGCAGAACTTGTCATCTTCCTCAACTGCTTCAAGGACTACCAGGAGCAGGGGTCCCGCTGGGCAGAGATCCTGGATGACATGAGGGCCCCCCTGGAATCCTGGTGTCGAGACCCCACACTCAGCCTGAGCGCCGAGTTTCCTGAACAGAACGTGCCTGGGACTTTGCAGTTGCGACTGACATCCACGACCCTGGAAAGCTGGATAGACATTAGACTGCTGCCTGCCTTTGATGCCCTAGGTGAGGGATCAGCCTGTGCTTTGGGGACTGGAGGGACGAAGGGGCCCAGGGAACAGAGGGACTGGCCTCCTCCTTGTGACCCTCACTCTCCCGACATCACCAGACACTGCAAATACCCAATCATCACATCATGTAATTATGTTGTGCTTGTAATTTTGCAAAGCTATCATGAAAGGTTCCACATAATCAGACAGCAGCAGACATTACACACGTGCCCCAATTAAAATTCAACCAATTTAAAACACACTTTAACAATAATTGACTTCGGTTTGGGTGGGGGCGGTTGTTGTTTCAAATTATATGTTATCAATTTTTTCTGTATTTGTGGGGGTTTACTTTCTAGTTATTTTTCTAATTTCAGGGTTGGGGTGGCTGTTGCTCTGAGCTTAGTAATTGTCCATCTTAATAATTGCAATGAAGGCTATGCCTTTCCCTCAAAGGGCTGCTTTAGCTGCATGGCACATGCTTTGGTATTTGGTCTTTTTCTTATTCGGGTCTATTTTGTAATTTTGATTTCACATAAGGATTCGTTCTTGAACTCTGAATATTTTTAATGAATTGGTTTCCAAATGGATCTGTTAGGGTTTTGCTTTTCTGGGTTTTTTGATACTTGGTATTTTTCTCTTCAATGTAGTAAGAGAATGTAGCCTATGTGGAGTTTGTTGAGACTTCCAAGGTGACCTATGATTGAGGGAGGATGGTGGTTAAATGCAAGCTTTCATTTAGTAGGGCCTTCGGCTAGTTGATCATGGGTTTTGCTCAGGTCTGTGTTGTTACTACTACCTTTTTTACATCAGGGGTCTGTCCATTTCTGAGTGGCTATCCTAAAACCACATACCCAAATGTGTATTTGTCCTATCTCTCGTAACAATGTGGGCAAGTTTGCTTTTAATGTTTTTAAGCTAGGTCACTAGGAACATATATGTACACAATGCTTTTGTTGGGTGGAGCCTTTTGATTGTTAAGTGATCGCCCTCCTTGTTCTTAAACACTGCTGTCTGGTATTCATAAGGACTGTCCTAATCTCCGCGTGCAGTTGTACACGCAGTGTTTCACTTGCCCACAGGGAAGATCAGCTCTGGCCTGAAACCCACGCCCCAGGTCTACTCCGCCCTCCTCCACAGCGGTGGCCAGGGCGGCCAGTATGCGGCCTGCTTTGCAGAGCTGCGCAGGAACTTCGTGAACACTCGCCCAGCCAAGCTGAAGAGCCTGATTCTACTGGTGAAGCACTGGTACCACCAGGTGAGCGCTCGGATGGACCCTAGCCCCTCCCAGCAAGTGGATACTGTTTTGGCGGCTGTCTCAGCCAATCACCTCCTCCATTATGCAGCCATCTCTTCTCCTCCTTTTCTTATTGGCCATCTGCAGTGGAAGGACCGCCTCTGCCATTTCCTGCCCAGACCTGGGAGCCAATGAAAATATTTTCTCCATCCACGTTTTCTTTCCCCTTTTTTCAGGCTTTCTTTCTTTCCTTTTATAAATTATTTTATTGGGGGCTCGTACAACTCATCACAATCCATCCATCCATCCATCATGTCAAGCACACTTGTACATTTGTTGCCATCATCATTCTCAAAACATTTGTTTTCTACTTGAGCCC